GTATGAAAAATGTTTCAAAATATTTCCATTTGATAACAGAAACTATAAATGTATATTATATAATTAATAACAAAGAATTTTTATCTATTTTTACTGTACATATTTAATAACAGAATTATATAAAAAAAAATGGAGAATATACAAAATATTAGATAATAATTATATAAATTTTACTGTAATTAAAAACATAAGTTTTTTTGTTATCAAAAGTATTTACAATATATTTGACAACATTTAGCAAATCGGTTAGCAACAAGAATAGAAATACAAATAAAAAACGAAGAATATACAAAACTATTAGTTTATAATAATGATTATGAAAAATGTTACAAAAATTGTATATTTTTCTTATAATAAGTTAGTAGATCTTAAAGAGCATAAACATTAATAAGAGAAAAAAAAATAACTGTTTTAATTTAATTTTGATTTATTGATGTGAATGAATAACGAGCAGTTAGTAGTTGCATAAGGAACATTGTGATTCGGACAAAACGCCTTAATGAGGAAAGGGAGGTTCTTGACTTCACGAAAATTATTGCCTGCGGTGCAATGCGCAAGTATTCGAACTTGGTTAAGCCCGATTCATTAATAATTTATACTACATGGTTCTTTGGAAGTACGTGATCGAGGAATGCGAGTTAGGCTTAGCTGTATAGTTTACTGTAAGGCGGTGCACTTCAACGTGAACTATAAGCATCACACACACATACCACAGTAGGCAATTTGTGGTCAACGAATAATACGAAAAATTTATTGAAAAGATAACATTTTATTGATTTAAAACAAGACATGTTTTACGTACATTCATTGTAGAATTTCTATAATGTAATCCAATAAATATACTTTATAATAAATATTTATTATTTATATTTAATCATATGATTGAACCTATGATTATTTATTTGTAAAAAAAATTAAAATAAATAAAAATTTCAACTCAATCTAAATTAAGATTTTTTACATAATACACATATTCAAACAATATTTTATAGATTTTCGAGTCTATATTATATTAATTTCGAGATATTTCGAGTTCATATTATATTAATTTTGGCATGTTTTTTACAATTTACTAAAAGAGTATTTATTATTTGATTTAAAAAAATATTTATCGGTAGTTAATTTATAGATAATTTGTATTATTTTAATAAACTAACTTCATAAAGTATAAAAGAACTAAATACAATTCGAAAAATATAAATTGAGCAATATTTGGAATTATTGTACAAAAAATTGTGAACAAAATAAATATTTTTTTGTTTCTTGAAAACGCATACAATTTTCACTTTTATTACAAATTATTTAAGTAAAACTAATGACTAAATAAACTGTATACTCTGTAACAAATAATACATTTTTTGTGAATGTTTCATTAATTTTATGTTACATTAATCATCGTCAAATATTAGATTCCCTGCAGTAATATGAAGCGTTTAAGTTGGACAAATATTGGTTGTTTGGTTCGGTCCCTTCGTTGCCTGTATTTGGCAATTCTATTATACACAATAATATCGGAAATGGGAAATTTCACCAATTTTCTACCCCATATATGTATACACAAAGAAATGAATTTCTGCCCTACGACCGAAAAAAAGCAATTTTCTTTCTATTTGTTTTTCTATTGGGACATAAAACTATAAAAGTTATTACATTTTCTTATATAATCACATACAATTTTTGTTACTTATTTATTTCTTACGTAATTTCAAAATATATTACACATTATTGTTATATTACAAATATATCAAAGTTGTTTATTATTAAAAACATATTTATTTGATACATTTTTTTTATGTGGATCCATACTTTTGTATGTATTTTACATAAATTTACTTACTTTTGCTTTAACTATCAACATATACAAAAATTTTAATTACCAAATAAATTATTTTTTTGCATCATTATAACAATCAAACACTTTTAATTTGGATGTATTTTCATAAGTAATTAATATAAAATTAATGAAAAAAAATGTTGTCTTTACTATTTGTCTTATATATTTTTTGATGTACAGTAATACATCGCAATTAGGTTTCACTATACAAACTACAATTTAAATTAAACAAAATTGAAATAAATTAAAAAAAAAAAATATTTATTTTTGTTCGGTATGTATTTACTTCTTCAATTAGTCCGAATTTTACCAGTCTATTCGCACTATACCCGCACTATTCGAGATAATTACCTAAAATATATTATTTGATGTACAGCGATACCTCGCAATAGTGCGCATTCAAACAGTCCGGTTTTATTATAGATACTACAATTTAAATTGAAGAAAATTGAAATAAATTCATAAAATAAGTACACAAAATATATTTTTCTTCAGTTTGTATTAACTTCCTCGATTAGTCCGGATTTAACCAGTCTATTCGCACTATACTTGCACTATTTGCTATAATAATCTAAAATATATTTGTTGATGTACAGCGATATCTCGCAATAGTGCGCATTCAAACAGTCCGGTTTCATTTTACAAACTAAAATTTAAATTGAACAAAATTAAAATAAATTCTAAACAAATAGTACACAAAATATATTTTTGTTCGGTATGTATTTACTTCCTCGATTAGTCCGGATTTAACCAGTCTATTGGCAATATACCCGCACTATTCGAGGTAATTACCTAAAATATATTTTTTGATGTACAGCGATACCTCGCAATAGTGCGCATTCAAACAGTCCGGTTTTACTATACAAACTACAATTTAAATTGAACAAAATTGAAATAAATTCCAAAAAATAGTACACAAAATATATTTTTGCACGGTATGTATTTACTTCCTCGATTAGTCCTGATTTTACCAGTCTATTCGTACTATTTTGTATTTTAAATATGAAAACTTTCATTATTTAAAAATTAAATATTCATTTTGAAAAGTTTGTATAAAACACTAAATAATTGAAACATGAAATTAAATGTATATTAGTTAAAACAATAGAATTGTATATTTCATTTTTCTATTATTATCACACGCTTATTTCTTTGAGTCGGCATTTTTCTTTACATTAAACATGAATAGACCCAAATTACTTTTAAACATAAAAACTACACTCGTTGACTTGAATTAATTATATAAAAAATCATATAAAACATTTTAATATTTAAGAAGTTTTTGCGATTATTTTCGTTTCTTTTATAATTTTGAGCTAAATGAAATGTGAAATTATTCTCTATATTAAATTATAAATAATTACTTTATTGAATAAGGAACTAATCTTTTGATCTTTAAATACAGATTTTTCAGTTAACTTTAAATAATTCTGATTTTCTCGAAACAAAACAACATTAAATCTTCGCTATATTTACATTCCTATAATCAGATAAAATCTTCTCTCTGATAGAAAATAAATATTTATAGTAAATAAAACACGAGGAATGCGGAAAAAGCCATATTTAATTAATTTTCATACAAATAATAAGCAATATTTAATTAACTTTTACCTATGTCAATTAAAATAGAATGCACGAACAGTTACGAAGATTTTATATCATTTCCATGCCATTAAACCTCACCAAATAAAGCCATGTCGTTGTCCACAATCTAGTAAAGAGATTCTTTACTTTCTTTACACCGACGTGTAAGAAAATCCCGCTAAGCAATTTCTTGTAGATATTGAAGAAACTACCATTTTCATCTCTTGACCACTACGAAAGTGAAGGGACGAAAGTTTATGAGTGCATAATTTCGCGGTACGCAAACCGATGAATATGAAGAATGAGAGTTATAAATAATAGTTGTAAAACTTATCATGGTTATAATTGGCGATGATAATGTAAAATGTGAAATATTTATGGATTTATTAAAATAAATCTTACTATGCAGTGAATTTTAGTAATAATTTAAGGAATTATAATAGAAAATGCGAAATGCGGTTTTAATTACAAAAAATCTTAATATGAAATACACACTTTTAATAAAAAAAGACAAAAATCTTTACCATGGTTTACTTGGGATTTATAATGTAAAATATGAACTATGTATGGTTTTAATAATGGGTGTCCCAGAAAGAACTGACATTTTAAATTTGCAACCATTTTTTTTTGCTGTGAAGTCATAGTAGAAATTTTTATATGATGTCATTAGTAAACCTCAATGTTAAGTTATAGACCCTTTACAAATTTGTTATAATTCCATACGAACTTGTAGTAAAAAAGACTCAAATCCTAGCCATGGTTTAATTGGGATTGATAAATGTTTTAATAAAGGTTGTCCCAAAAATAACTGATATTTTAAATTTGCCGCCATTTTTAGAGTTATAGACAAATTTCTTATAATTCTATACGATCGTGTAGTAAAAAATTAATAAAATCTTAACCATGGTTTAATTGGGAATTATAATGCAAAATATGAACTATGCACGGTTTTAATAAACGGTGTCCCAAAAAAAACTGACATTTTTAATTTGCCGGTATTTTCTTCGCGGTAGTCAGAGTAGAGAATTCTATATGCTGTTATTAATAAACCTCAATGTTAGTTATAGGCGCTTTACAATTTTTTTTTATGATTCTATACGAAGTTGTAGTAAAAAAAACTGAAATCTATGGTTTAATTTGGATTGATAATGCAAAAATAATAAAAAGTGTAAGAATCCTTACTATACTTTAATTGGAGTTGATAATGTCATTTTTTTTTAGTATTTATGGTTTTTTTTATTAAAAAAATCTGATTTAGTCGGGTAATTAGGAATAGTAATGTAAAATGTAAAGTATGTATGGTTTTAATTAGAAATTCTTACCATGGCACACGGATTTTCATTAAAAAGAAAATAAATGTCTTTATTACAGTTTAATTGGGACTCATATAACAAAATGTGATCTATTTTTAGTTTTAATACCAAATTATTATCGTGATGTAAAAAGAAAACAAAAAATTCTTACAATGATTAAATTGAGAATGATAATGAAAATGATCTATTTATGGTTGCAAGAACAAACAAAAAAATAAAATGAAGGCAAATTGTTGATGTTCTTCAAGGAACGAGAGGTATAATGAAAGATGCCGTTAGTCGTATGTGCGTTTATTCAATTGCCCTCTCGCATTGTTCGCCTTTTACGAAGAGAAAACTTCTGTTCCTTCTGTTTCTTTTGCACGTAATTAGGAGACGCAATAAAAGGCGAATCAATCTTTCTGGTTGGTCATCATCAGCGAGATGCACCGACAACGAGTTGACGTTCGGATTGGTCGGACTTGATGTGTTGATGCAGAAAGAAGTCATTTGGAGATGATTAAAGTCGGGGCTGTTAATCAGAAAGCCGGAGATTGCAATTTGCTCCTTTTTCATCTTCTCCTTCTATATTCTCTCTCTCTTTCTATCTTTATGTGTTACTTGAATCCAATTTGAATTTTTGTCCCGACAGGCAATTCTGCAGACCGTACTGGGCGGCACTAAATTAGGGGATGAATGCAACAGCGATTGGGAATGCAGGGAAGATATCGGCGGTTCGATGTGTCTGAGGGGACGTTGCTCGTGTCAACCTTACTACGCCCGACTGAACACGACTCTTTGCGTGCAATGTAAGTGCCTCTACGTCTCAAGCAACAAAGTTTGACGGTGTTTAACTTTTGGTTTTTTGTTATTTGCAGCAACTCTTTTGGGATACGATTGCATCGTGAACGAGCAGTGTTCTATGAAGGTGGCCAACAGCAGCTGCTTGGACGGTGCGTGCCGTTGCGTTGATGGATTTCTTCAGTTCAGGAAGCACACATGCCTAGGACGTAAGTGCTCATTAAAGTTCCCGGAAACTCTCATAACGTGCGCTAGCTACACACACACAAATTATCGGCCTGGCCAAGATTCGAATCATCATCATAACTGATCTTTGCCAATTTCACAGCAATTCTTTTGCAAATAAAGTATGATACAGAGGCGAAGATTGACCGACATATATTGAAGTAACACGTCTGCTGTATCCGGAAAAAGTTACGTAATTATGGTACTCGAATTAATCCTGTTGGATCAGTTAAAAATCAATGTTTTTTTTATCCATTCGTAGATTGAAAATAATTTGATATACATGCAAAGATTGACTGATATACATTGATATAACACGTCTGTTACATACTGAAAAGTTATGTTTTTGTATCAAAAGTGATTGAATCAGTTTATGTAATTAAAATATCATAGAATGGATGAAATATGAACGAATCATTGACAGGTTTATGTTGGAATAACACGTCTCTCCTATTCGGAAAAAATATGTAATAATAAATTAAATATTCATTTTTAAGATATAATCGTTGTTGCAATGCAAATAAAATATTGATTTATTGTCTGATTTCCTTTGAATAAACGCGTTACTTGTATTCGAAAAAATCTTGTTATAATGAATCACGTAGGATAAGGTAAAAAAAGTTCTGGATGGACATGTTAGTCATACAATGATGTAAAGAGAATGTTCACATCAATAATTGTTTGTTTATTTATGATTTATTGTATAAGATTATTCAATAATTTTATTTTCATTTATAATACCTAGCAATTATTCAAATTGAATGCAACAATATTTATTTAATTTTTGTTTACAAATGTTTCTTGACTATATTTATATTGTAAATTTATGTTTATGTTGAGTCATATTTTATAGTTGAAACATAAAAAATGTTGGAGGTGTCATAAAAAAAGTATAGTTAAAAAATGCAAAGACAAACTAATTCAAACAATTTAGCTTTCTGGAAACAACAATTTCTTTAATAATTAAGTCAAAACGATCGTTTAACAATAAAGTCACAAAGTATATTTCGTATTAATGAAATTTTGGACAAAAATATAAGCATTTTCTTTACTAGAATTGTGATTAATATTTCTACATTTTTTTACTTTTCTCAGTTAATTTACTTTGAAATCAGTAACTATTATTCATATGATGAACTTTTTACAAAAATATCGAAAAATTTGACAAAAATATGAAAATTTTTGTTACTAAAAAGACATATATAATCAAAGAATTTTGCAAAAAAGATCGTTTAATAATAAACTCAGAAAGTACAGAAATGGTTAAACATAATGTCAAAAAATGGTTTTTATGTAAAATCTGGATTTATTTCAAGTTACTTTGTTATAAAAAAAATATGTTTTTTTCAAATTAAAGTTGAAAAGGTACAATAAACTTGAAACTGTAAATTTCAGTGTCTTTATCACATATAGTTTAGTTACAGATTTTTATTGTTTCGTTGAATGCCTCTGTAAACTTTAGCTCTTTCGACATTTATTTACTTGAAACTAATCAAAATGAGTAGAATTATATCAAAAAAGATTTTTTTTGTAAAGATAAAAATTAAATTTGTACTTAAGTAAAGTTAACGTTAAATCGAGAAATTATGAATTAATATTATTTTATCGTTAGACAGTTTAATAATTCTATGCATTTTTGTTAATTCAGATATAGATATTAATTATTTCAATTTTTAATTATTGAATATTGTATTTAAAATATAAATTATATCAAATTATTTCGTAATTTTAGAAAAAATATACAAACAGAAATTATCGATAATAAATAATGTTAAAATTACATATATTTTAGTATTAAAACTTTATGCAAAACATTAAATATACATTTTCATTTTTACATGGCCTATAGAAATTTTATCTTCCGTGTATTTCATTTTGAATTATGAATATTGAAATTTTGGACAAAAATATGAGCATTTTCTTTACTAGAAATGTGATTTTATACTTTTCTCTGTTCATTAACATGTAAATTAGTAAATATTATGTATATGATGAACTTTTAAAGAAAGTATTGAAATTTTTGGCAATAATGTGAACATTTTTGTTAATCAATATGTCCTATTGACGCATTATTTTTAAATTGGGTAAACAATTTTTTTTTGTACTCTTTTTCAATTAATTTCAATTTTAAAAATTTTATTTACATATTTGTAATACAGTGATATAGGGTGTGGTATTAAATGTAGCCTTCTGTTATTTAACAAAAAAAAACATCAACAATAATAATAAACAAATAAACAGAGATAAAAGAGCACAAATAAATATATGGGATTACTTTTCAAGAAAAATATTGAAATTTTTGGTAGTTTTTTTTTAAATCGCAGTATTATTTTTAAATTAAGCAATCAATATCCTATTTTGTACATTTTCCAATTAACATTAAAATTAAAGAATTTGTATATCATAGATAACTTTTTGAATATTTAAATTTTAACCAAAAATAAGAACATTTTTTTTTACTAAAATAAAAGGTGCGTAAAGATTTTCCATTACAGTAATATTTTTCATATTTATTCATGTATCAAATAAGTATACCAAACATAAAAAAGTAATTTTAAAATAAGTTTTCAACAATATAATTAATTTCTTAATAATAAAGTCATCAAATGTCTATAAAAAAAACTTTTTTTTCGTTTGTACTCTTAATTGCATAATATTGTCATGGGTATTATTAAAGTAATTGTTGTTTCCAGAAAGCAGGAATAATGTTATGAAATTGTTCTGTGAATATTGCATTAAAATAAACCGTTCAGCAGTAATTCACGAGGGTTTACATTAATTGCCCTGTTCGTATTTTGTATGTGGCAATTCATTTTCGATTTTGCAAAATATCAGATACGTAAACCTAACGGCACACCATATGCCACACGAAACTTTCTAGACGGTCCTTTAATTGCTTTAGTTGTTTGTTCGGTCAATAAATTAAGAGGACAGTTTGCATCATAAATTATAATACTAACTGTATTTTTTTATATAGAAATATGAATAAAGTATTGATTAATTTTTGTATGTAATAGTTTAGCAATTATTTCAATGATTACTATCAATAAACCAGTTTTAATTGTATTTATTGTATAAGAAAATTATAAAATATTAAATCTTAAAAAATATTTACAGGATATAAAAAATTGATCAAAATAATCAACCAATGATATATTAGAAAATTGAGACTTTTTTTTATCATGATTTTTATCTTGTATTAGGAAAGTGTAATAAATTTGCAAAAATATTTATGAAACTTTGTATAATTTATAAGATTTAATCAACCAATAATTTACACATAAATCGATTTAATTTATGATAGATTACTTATGATGATTATATAAGTAAAGTATAATAATGATTTGTTAACTTAAATTCTTGAATTATTTATTGATTGTTGTTATTGATGATAAATTATCAACCAACAATTTCTTTCAAAAATCAAAATTCTAATCTGTAATCAGAAATTTGATAGAATAACGATTAAGATATTCTAAAAATTACAATAAAATTGAATAAGCAAATAGAATTTTTTGCTATTTTCTTCATTTTCTTGATTATTTATAAAATAATTGGTTTAAAAGTTCTTTAGTATTTCTTGATAATTTATCATTTGTAAGGATAGAATAATAAAAGTATGATATTGAGAAGATTGAAAAATGATCAAACAATGTGTGGACAAAAAAAAATCTTGAATTATGTACTTCATTTTCCTAATTATTTGCAAGACGAGTAAATTTGATCAACCAAAAAATTTCATTGAAATTTAACTATAGTATTTCTTGATAGTAAATCATGAATGAAGTAAGGTTACAAAAAAGTAGACTATTGATATATGTTATAAATTATCAACCAAAAATGAGTAGACAAAATGTTATCTTTAATAATGTACTTCATTTTTCTAATTATTTGTAATTATTACGTCTATTTGAGTCAACCAAATATTTTTCGTGAAATCTAATTCTATTATTTATTGATACATAATCGTTTTCATATTAATAACATAGATAGAATTTTGAGAAATTGATAAATTATCAATATCAACCAATTATTTGATAATCAAATACTAATTTATCATTTATAAGGAGTGAATAAAGATAGTGCAATATGTTTCATTTTCCTAATTATTTACCAAAAGTGTGATTATTCAATCATATAGTCAATCAAAAATTTGAACTGAGAACGAACTGTAACATTTCTTGATACTAGATCATTTCAAAGGATTGAATAAAGAAAATATAATTAGGTAATTATCAACCATTAATTGATTGAACAAAATATTATCTTTACTGTTTCATTTTGCTAATTATTTGTAAGAAATGTGTTTATTAACCCATAATTTGTACTGAAATTGAGCTGTAGCCTTTCGTGAAAGTAAAACTATCACTTATACCGACTGAGTAAACAAAATCTTGAAGAACGAATCTCAATGAAGGGGACAATGAAAAACCGGGGGAGGAATTGGAAAAGCCTGAAGTTTGATCAAATCGTTTCAGGCGACAATTAATCCAAACAGTTAGGGTGGTTGTTAGCATGGACGAAGGGGGATCGCCTTGCACCCTTCGCCCTTTATATTGATTGACGCAATCACGAAAGGGGCGCGAGGGGTGAAGTTGCAATATACAAAAAAAATAAAGAACGATGCGATGATCAATCAAGACGCCAAAAACGAAAACAAAAAGGGAAGCAATTGGGCAGCGGCAAAACGAACAAATTGATTTATGTTTCAATTGAAAATGCATTTATCATAAACAATTCTCGCGTCAATTGAGACAATATGGGTCGAGTGCGCCCACGACCCTAGAGCAGAATTCGCGTTTCCTATCGGTCACGTGACAGAAACAGCGCAATTTTGAAATTACCGCCAATTATGTCCGGGATTTCTTTAAGTATTCAAATGCGCATCTATGATTAGACACTCAATGAGCATATCGCAATTAAAATTTTTAATTGAGACTTCTTTATTAAACATGCAAATTGCGCAATAATTATAGGCAACCAGCTGTACTATTTGGGGTAATTAATTTGAATCCTGTTTTAATTTTTAGTTATTTCTCGTCGTTAATAATACTTTTTTTTTCTTTCTTTTTGTAGCCGCACGTCCTGGGAATGTATGCTACAGCAACGCTCATTGTCGCCTCTGGACTGCTGACAGCCACTGCGACTTCCTCATCCCAAATCTCTTTGGGAGATGTCAATGCAATAATCCCTTAAGACAGGTCGGGGATTCGTGCGTGCGTTCCGCCTTCCCAACCACCGCAATCCCAACCACAAAGCATAATATGCAAGAGGATGAATCTAATGTTATTGCCGATTCCACGGATGATGTCGTGACTACACCGGAACCTAAGCAAGAGGAAATCGTTACGACCACTTTGCAGCCAGATTTTACCACAAGGATGAACGTTGCTACGAGGGTTACAACCATGGAACCATTCTCCACGCCTCTTCCAACAACCGTCTTGTTATCTACCACTACTACTACTACAACCGTGCAACCAACAACCACCACAACTACAACCACAACAACAACCAGTAATTATTTTAACATTTTCAATCACTACCGTTTTTATGAATTAGTTAAATAGTAATTTGAGTAGATAATAAACGTACCAAACACACATATCACCTTTTTTTATTGAAAGTAAACTTTAGTTAGATTTATATTCAAATTTAAATATGACAACGTCTGCCATCTACCGGATTGCGCTATTATTTAATACTTTGCCTATTCTCACATAGATGATAACTGTCATTATTGAACATTACTTGACAACTTTGATTACAAGTTACTAAAGTTTTGGATTTTTCGTATTTTTAACACAAAAATACAATGAACTTTTAGTTTTTAATTAATCATTTGTTATAAAAAAAGTTTTAATATGTCTTAGACAATATTTTTACTTGATTCAAAATTAATAAATATTTTAAAATAATTATTTTTTTGAATTTTTAAAGTTAATACAACTCTTTTTTTTACTAAACTACTTCAATCAACAATTTCTTCACAAACTAAACTAATTTCAAAATGTATACTGTAATAAACTGTTGCAATTAATTAATTCTACAAATATACAAATTTTATAGTAATTAGACAAGTATATGTCATGTATCGCGAATTGTGTATGTCTCCATTACTACCATATATTATTTCGCAAGTACTTGTACAAGTTATATTATTCATGCTATGCGTTTGTGTTCTAGCGATGAAACCCCCAGTGTCTACACGTATTCGCACTAGGATTGATGATAGCCATGTAGCCGTGAGTCTGGGACTCCCTTGTGTAACAGATCTTCAATGCAGAGCAGCTGATGGATCTTCCAAATGCATTGACGGCGTCTGCGATTGCATCTTCAGATCCAACACAACAACTTGCTCAGCAAGGAACCGTGGCTGCATTCCCGGCACTTTCCAAGTAATTCGCATTATTTGACTATCATCTCCAATTACTTATTTATATATTTATTGTTTTAACAGTGCCGCAGCACAGGAACATGCATCAGCTGGTTCTTCGTCTGCGATGGTCGCAAGGACTGCTCCGACGGATCAGATGAGGAATGCTCTGCAACTAGGTGTCCCCATGAGGCTTTCCTGTGCAAATCCAGCGGACGTTGCATATCCCGCGCCAGCCGTTGCGATGGTGTTAAGGATTGTATCAGCGGCGAGGATGAGGAGGATTGTCAGGCTGCCGGTAAACGAGGTTGTCCTTCGGATACGTTCCAATGCGCCGACGGAAAGTGCATTCCGGAATATGAGTTCTGCAATGCCATAATTGGATGTAGCGATGGAAGCGATGAACCTGCACATATTTGTCGCGGAAGAGCCAGGAGGCGGCTTTCCGAATACTGCCCTTTGAGATGCGGCAATGGTAGATGCAGGTCCAGCGCAATTGCATGCTCCGGTAGGGACGGATGCGGTGATGGAACAGACGAACACAATTGCTCAGTTTGCAGTAAGTATTCCAATATTCATTAACGTACAGTATTTTGTTCGAACTAACGTACAAACGTACACTTATGTCAGTTAGACCAGACTTACACTGTCACCATTTTACTTGTGTATCAGATTAAGCCGTTATTTGTTTTTATTTCAAATACTTCTTAAATTTACAAATAAGAAACTACTTAATTTATTATTTAAAATAAACGTATAATAATGACGGAAAGTGAATGTTCCTATGAATATACAGTACATTAGTGCGAATGAAGAGACGTATGTACAAAAAGTCGTAAATATCTAATTAGTAAAACAAGAACGAATATGTTTACCTACGTGACTAATTTAAACTTACTTATATTTATTAATTACTTAAAACTATATAATATTTATCAGCTAATTGATATTTATCAGCATATTGAGAAATTTGAAATTTGTTCACTAGAATTTGTTCAAGTACGTACGTGTGAACAAAGAGACAGAAAACAAAAAACGTATATATCAAAATATTAATAATGTGCTTATTTATAATACCGACATTACTATAAATTTATCTTTAGTTTTCATATTTAAACAAAAGAGAACTTTCATATTCTTGCTTCAAATAAGTATTATAGAATTACTATAAATATATTATTTTACTTCTCGTATTGAATTTCCTCTATTCGTTTATAATTCCTAAAATTTCAGTATTTTTTTTTCTCATAAACTAAGTACAGGTTACCGACATCTAACCATATTCGCAACAGGAAGTTTCTTTATTAAGAATATAAATTCTTCGATTCGCAGCTTCTTCAAGGAAATAATTGATATCGATTTAAACGCGAAAAAAAACGTTTAAAAAATGTGGATTTCCTGTTTTTCCATAAACCATATATTTTAAAAGAATAGAAAAAATTCGAGTTAAATATAACTCATTTTGGTTAGTTGTTTGAAATTCTTCATTAAACCAAAGTAATTTTATTGAAAGTAAACATTATTTTGTAGATTTGTTACTTAATTATAATAATTAATTTATATTTAATGATCTAAAATCCTAATTTTTTCAATATCTTCTCCAAGTAATTGAAGTTTATAAATTTCACACTTAAATGTCTGCTTTTTTTTAGTACAACATAATTATAATAATCTATTTTTTTTCTTTTCAGGATGTCCGGTAGTTAAGGCAAGGAAATTGTAAGTCTTTAGAGAAGAAAGAACAAAAAACACACCGAGAGGATCCACAAAAAAAGGACGAAAAGTAACCAAAAAAAGACACCTCTCGAGATCGGAAAGGCCAGAAAGTGCACCAAGACACACTATAATATATCGTTACATTGCGTATGATGCCAAATACAAATACTTTTAATAATTTTTATGTGTATTATATTTATTACTGTATTTATTTCTATGTAAGTTGAAAGGCGACAAAAAAAAATGTAGATGGAAAACGCATCTGTCGAATTTTGTTTCTTTTTTTTGTACTCGATATTTTATTTACGAGAGAATCGAGTTATTTATATTTATTATTAAGGCTTCCAGGATGCGTTCGAAGGTGAACGAAACACGTGAAATTTAATGATTTATTCGTGGAGCTCAATTTTCTCCTTTTTAGTTTAATAATTTATTTTGTTTGGTGATTATTTCTTATACTTCTTATACTTATTAATTCAATTTAATGTTTAGAACGTAGAACGACGACAGATCATTATTATAATATACTTTCAAGACATTCGAGCACCAGGATATTAATTATGTAAATATTATATAAATTTTAAGTATACAGTTTCAATGTTTGTATTATTTAAAAAAATATTTCTTAATAATTAATGAAGAAATTAAATAAACATTATGTAATATCAAATTGTTCTATTCTAATTTTATTCCCATACCACCTATATTATTCTCAATTAGTCTATTATCCCATCAAATTTAATATTTATAATTTCATAATTATTTTTAAATATTTAATTGAAATTTTAAATAATTAAAATATACTAAAAATATATTAAAAGAAACTAAATTATTGTCGAATAAAATATAATGATTTCAAAACCAATTCTATTGCTTCTCTTAAAAAAATGGAAATTTACTGTTTACTAACCGGTGGCAATCAAAATCACAACAATCGAAATCCTGACAATATCAAAATCCCGACAATATCCTTTATTATTTGATATAGACTTATTTATAATAAACATTAACAATAAGAAACAATCTAAAATACAATTTTGATTATTAATTGTTGTTATTTATACTTAAAAAAATATTTTTAAGAAACTCATTAATATTGGGAAATTCGGCTGTCAGGATTTCGATATATATATATATATATCATTTACTAGCACAAAATTCATAATAATATTCTTGAAATTTGTAAATTTGGTTGCCTATATGAATATTACAGAAAACTTCATAGAACACATTTATATGAAAACAGAAATCATGCATTTATTTGGTTTATACATTAAAGATTGATTCTGTAAAATATTATGGAAACAATACTTATTTTTTTTATGCAAATTGAACAAAATATCTTAGTTTGTTTTTTTATTGTAATCATACTTTTATAAACATTCAATTGACTATACCATACATATTGACTAGAAAATACAGTGATACCTCGGTATCTCCGATTTGGAATAAGACTAACTTGATGAACGTCCTGTTGGGACGCAAACCAAATGTTGTTTGGAATACGACGCGCAATAATGTCCAAACAAGCCGTAATAGCATTGTCTGGAATGACCAAACAATGTCACATTTCTAAAACATCCTGAGGAAAAGGCAGAAGCAAAGTGCTTTAGACATATTTTTAGTAAACCTTAAACCTGATGTTTTTCAACCAGATCCAAGTAGCAAAAGAGAATAGATTTATTTCATCTCATTGCTTTTCTATTTATGAATGTTAATATTAACACGTTAAGGACGGCGCTTTTCGGGTTGCCTGCCCCCAAAAAAAATTTCGTGGACGCCTATGTACTGAAAGAAACGTCAAATATCTTAAGTCAATTATAATCTTTAAACGTTTAAATTTTTCTTGTACATTTTTTAATGGTATTGAAGCAATTTATAACAATTGTGGGAAATATATTGAAATTTTCATAAAGTTGTTACATATTGCGCACAGTGTTATGATCAACATGACACTGTGTATCAAA